AATGTCGTTGCTCACATTTGACCTAGGGCTGTAAATGAGCTGAGCTTGAGCGAGCTCAGGCTTGGCTCGTGTTCGAAATCAGCTCGTGTTCGAAATTGGCTCGTGAACAGCGTGTTCGTGTTCGGCTCGTTAAAATTAAATTGAATAAAATAGATGTAAATCGTGTGATTCGAACCTAGACCAAATATTACAAAAGAAGACACTAACCACATTACCACACGAGATGTTATGATTTTAACTTAGATATAAATATATATATTATATTATTATATAAATAATATATGTTATATATTGTTATATAAAAAGCTATACATATATTATAATTTATAAAATTTAATTTTTTAAAATATCATAAATTTTTAATATATAATTATTTTAAATTATTTTATATTTCGAACAATAACGATTCGAACACGAACGAACGCATCAATGTTCGTATTTGGCTCGTTTAACTAACCAAACGAAAAACATTTGTTCACGTTCGTCTCGTTCACTTATCAAACGAATCGAACACAAACTCATTGACGAACCGAACACGAACAGTTCGCGAACAACGAGCTTTTCTGACAGCCCTAATTCGAGCATTCTCACTTCAGCATTCGCTAAAACTAGAGCAAGAGGAGTGAGCAAAAATTTAAATATTATATAGCATAATAATAATAATAATAATAATAATAATAATAATAATAATAATAATAATAATAATATAGTGAATAAAATATATAGAGTTTGTTTTCCTTAAAAAATATTAAATAAATAATAAGATAATATAAACAAGATTAAAGATGTTATTTTAGCTGCAAATTTTCACCAGGGCAATTCATCATTCAAAATTTCTACAACTCTTTTCTCAAAGTTGCTCATATACACTTGATCAAATTTTAAATTTGATATCATGCTAATCATGCAATATGATATGCAAAGATACTTCTAGTTGTGCTCGAATATGCAACACATTGGTTAGAAATAAAATAAAACATTTTACAAAATCAAATTCAAGCACCCATTTTACTCGAGTAGAAAATGATATCTCCATGAATTTTCTAACATGCCCAAGAATATCTTTATAATAACCTATTTAAAAAAAAAAGTAGCCAACTAGTGTTGGTTCAATCAGATGAACATTAAAAGGGGAAGGCAAGAGCCAAGGAGTGTAATCAAGGCTTAGTTTGACAAAACATTTAAGTTTCGCTCGGTTCTGTGAACGCTGACGTGCAATTTTTTTTTTCGTTTGGTAAAGGAACATTTTCTTGCAGCTTTTAGAATTCAGGCTTCGTCGGCCATTCCGCCACACGACTTTTGAAGGAAGTTCCTTAGGTCCAAGAGCGAGAGGGAGAGAAGGTGAAGAAATGTAAGGAGGGGAGGGAACCCAAAGTGAGTCTCTGCATGCAAACTTGAGCAAAAGTCTGAGAACAAGAAGGGAGTCAAAATGTGATCAGCTGAGCAATGCAATCGGAGCACAGGCTCGAGCAACAAGATCAAGTATGTATTGATGATCCATCAAGAAAACGTGAGAGCCAATGATTGGAAGTTAAATCTTAGTTATTTTTAATGTCATTAAAATAATGTTAAGTTAGGGTCCGTTTGGGACAACTTATTTGGTGCGGTAGTTGTTTTGAAAATGCGCCTAACCTGTTTAAGAAAATTGTGTTTTGACAGCTTATATGTTTTCAAAACGCCGAAAATAACATTTTCACACCCCACCTATCTAGGTGCGGTGACAACTTTATGGCTGCGGTCAAACCTTTAAAAAAAAAATAAATAAAAATTTGTAACAGTCACCGCACCTAGCTTATCAGCAGATTATTTTTAATCGGCTTATCAGCAGATTATTCAATAAGATGCAGCTGCCCCAAACAGACCTTTAAGTTGCTGCTTAATTCTCGATTTCTTGTTATTTGGAATTATACATTTTCACTCATAAAATATAAAGAGTCAATATGCAAACCCAAAATAATTAAATAAATAAATAGATAAATACTTATTTTTTAAGTTAAATTGAGTACAACATTAACGGAGCAATGTAGTTATCTCTCTCTCTCTCTCTCTCTCTCTCTCTCTATATATATATATATATATCAATTATGAATCTTATGTTGTAGAGCTATATATAGATTATAAACAATGATTTGTTTCTTGAAATGAGGCAAATAACATATAAGTATTAAGAAGAGAAGTACATTTCAATATTTAGAATTCATTTAATTTCCACTTATACAAGTATTTTATAATTGATTATGATATGTCTTTATAGGAGTTGAAGGAAGGTCATGCTCATTTTGAGGATAGAAACTAAGATAAAAATCAAAGATTTGAGAAGAGTAATTATATTTATGAATTTCAGCATTGTTTTCTACTTCTAAACCTATTTTATGTCTCAATAAATCTTTCATTCAATATCTTTATGTTTGATTTCTATGTTGTCCTATTTTATGATACAATTAACTAATATTTCATAATATGGCTAAGAGTAAAATATGCATATCAAAATTATTTCATGAAAGTTCAGACTCAGCTCGTGTTCGACTCGTTGCCTGATAGAAGATGCTAGATTTTTACCGCAGACATCTGAATGACTTTTGATTGTCATAGTACATATAGTTACTCATAGAAAAATATAAAGTTTCCTACTGAAAAATAACATGCGCTAGCAAGAATGCATATGAAAATACTTTTTATAAGATTACTTATATGAACACGATTAGGGGTGTAAACGAGCCGAGCACGAGCGAGCCCAGGCTCAGCTCGTGTTCGGCTAGCTTATATTTCGAACTCAAGAAGTGTGCTCTTGTTTGGCTCGTTTGCTTAGTGAGTCGAACACGAGCGTTCACGAACAAAAAGTTATTTTAACAACTTTAATCACAAAGGCAGAAGATGTTAAGGATTGGGTCAAGATTTAAAACATCATTTGAATCTATCATTTGAATCTATTCATTTGAATCTATTTTAATAATTTTTATTCTATCTTCTTCATTAATACTTTTAATTGATTATAAATCTTTATAGCCTTGTAGTCAATTAAATTTTTAAAACACACTACTCATCAAAGAGATATATATAATTGATTAGTAGTATTTCCAGCCGAACACGAACGAACAAATATTTGTTTGTGTTGTTCGCGTTTGGCTCGTTAACTTAGCGAACGAGCTGAACACGAGTTTCTTAACGAGCTGTTCGCGAACAACGAGCCGTTTTGACAGCCCTAAACACACGATAATGAGGAAGAATTATTCCATATGTCCCCATTTTGAAAATTTAAAACCCCTGAACCAGGTCATGATAATCTTGTCCAATCTAATCAGCATTGTCAGATTATATCCTGATAATTTGTAAATATTTCAAACTATGTTTGATTTGCTAACACATTACATCCAAATTGATTAATCTATCATTAAACATCAAATAGGGAGGCCGGCCGGCCCTAAATCACAACAAAAAAATATTTAAGATGAAAAAAAAAGTACCATAAATAAATCGGCATATATCCTTATAAACATCATAGTTAAGCAAGCACCCCAAAATAAATACAAGTCAACTAATAGTAAGAATATAAAAGTCATAACTTCAATGAAATAACATCTTGATGCCTATTTCATTATTACACCAAGTACATAAACCAAGTTAATGAAAATATAATTGTAAGCTATTTAAGCACTTTAATCATCTCTAGATTATCTAATAATTATCTAATAATTGAGAGCAATAAAATCTATATACATCACTACAGGAGAAAATACTAAAATCAATGGCAAAACAGACGACATCATTTTATGTCGGAAAAAAATGTTCTATATTCCGGCTGTCTAGCGACGGTTTATGAAGCAGATTACTTGCAGCGGCATAACTACAGAACCGGCCGTCACTTATCAATAGTAATATTTTTTTTTCAACACTATTAGTTATTATCGACGCAGTAAATCATCAGTTAACAAGCAAATATTAACTGACGATAATATTTCGTCTGTTTTCTTCAAACCGCCATCTGGCGGGGTATTTACTAACACATTTTTTTAATAAGCGATGGAAATTTCCGTTTGTAATGGTGTTTAGAATCATTGAAAGTTGTTTATAAGCCATCGGAAATAATCATTTATGCAGCCTACACATTCTTCGCAAACACTTTTATAACATCTGTATGCATCTATTGCCCATTTTATTTCAATTTAATGAAAAAAAAAAATATTAACACCGGAAATATTCCCAGAACACAATAATACATGAATATCACCATAATAACACCTGAATAATGCGGAATAAGACAGAAGAATATTCACTTATGCTAAAACAAATTTTTTTTTTAATTTTTCTGTCACCTCCACGTGGCGTGATTTTATTAGACTCCAGACGTACCTCTACGTCCGGACGTAATAATTTTTCACTATAAAGTGGATGGCCGATAGTTCCAATAATGATAATTGTAATAATTTATTAGTACAAAACATATTTAGTTCAAATTTTATCCACATTAATCTAATTATGCTAAATTGAATAAATTAAACTTTGTTCTCAATTCCTATTACCCTTGCACTCCACATTACCTATGTTGTGCCGTGCAAGTTAATAACAAAATAACAATGAATTAAAAAATATATATATATATTCCTTTTTTAATGGATAAATTTATCTCATGACAATTTATTTCTTTCAAATTCTTATTATTTTTTCCTTAGCTTTCTAAAAATTCAAACTTCAAACTAATAAAATCTATATTGCATTGATACTCATAATAATAAACAATAATAACTATCTCACATCCCTTATATTTACATGATGCACAATGCATCAACCGATTATAAAACCTATATCTTACATATAATGTATATTTGTAAAATATATTTTTAATGATAAATATAGCCATCATCCATGTCATATATTGTTGTATGTGCATGCATATCATATCCAATCATATTAGTGCATATTAAGAAGTCAATCCAATCCCCTTATAAAAACCCCCCAAAACCTCCCCAACACTCACCCCTATACCCATATTTATATTCACCATGCAACTCCTTCTCCTTCTCCTTCTCATCCTCTCCCTCTTCCTCTTCTCACCCTCGTTCACCCAAAGCCTTCCTGTTCCCCCGCGAGGCGAAATCCATCCTTCACGCAAGTGGGTCAACATAGCTAGGGCGACCAGGAAATTGGAGAATGTGTCGTGCTCGAGCTGGCAACTCGCCACAGAGACCAACAACCTGCGTCGATGGAAGTCAATTCCTGCCACATGTGAATCATATTTTGGGCATTATTTTCTGGGGCATAGATATAGAGATGATTCAGCTCTGGTTACCAAGGAAGCCTCAAAATATGCACGGAGGCGTCAACTTTCAGGTGGTGGGAAGGATATTTGGATCTTTGATATTGACGAGACTTCCTTGTCTAACTTGCCCTTCTTCTCCAAGCTTGATTTCGGGTATTGTTCAATATACATACTCATTAATAATAATTCAATCAATATCTTCAAATATATATATTATTAACTACTAAAAAAGATATATAGAACATATTTTGTAGCTCAAAATTGTAAAAATTTCAAACATTGGAACTCACGCAAAAGCTTCCATGGCATATGACAATGATTGACAGAAAATAAAAATAATAGCAATTAAATAACATATAAAATTTAAATATATTTTTTGAATTTATATGACTTAGAGTTTATCGAAAATTATTTCATCAGGACTCCTAACGTAGAGATGCGTTCGGAGTTTACTGATATGCGGACACATGACTTCAAGAAAATGTGTGTTTTTTCTTATGATCCGGCCCGGTAACATACAAGAATATTCCTCCTGTGTTATTCTGCATTATTCAGGTGTTATTGTGGTGGTATTGATGTGTTATTGTGTTATTATAATACCGGGAATATTCTCAAAACATAATAACACATGAATACCTCCACAGTTAAACTTAAATAATGCAAAATAACACTGAGGAATCTTCTTCTGCACTAAAATGTTTTTTTTTATTATTTTTTTATCACATCTACGTGGTGTGATTTCATTAGATTCCGAACGTTTCTCTACATCCAGAGTCCGGATATAATATTTGTTCTTAAATTTCAGCTTGAAGCCATACAGCGAAGCACAGTCGGACAAGTGGGTGGCGGCGGGGGCGGCGCCGGCGTTGCCGGAGAGTCTGAAGCTGTACAAGGAACTGCTAACGTTGGGGATAAAGGTGGTGTTTTTGACGGGAAGAACGGAGGAGTTCAGAGAGATAACGGCGCGCAATCTTAAGAAGGTTGGGTACCACTCCTGGGAAAAGCTCATACTTAGGTGAGTAATTATATTAAAATAATTAACTGATGAATAATTCATCTTAAATTTGATTAATATTTAATTATGTTTGTTTAAATTAATAAATGAATAAATTAAAATTTTTTTTTTTTAAATCTCGGATGTTAAATGAGCAAATTTATTTGTTATTAGAGAGATAATTTGCTAAATGATTTATAGTTATATGTTTAATTAATTAAATAATATTTGATTAGTTTGGGATTATTTGATTATATTGTTAATAATTGTAAATTATAAATTAATATTAATATGCATTTAAATTTAAATGTACTTTCTTCTTCTTTTCTTATTTTAATAAATCTATTTGTTAATGATTAATAATAATATTTGATTGCAAAAAAATACTTATAATTTAAGTATTATTTAATAATTTAATTATATGTTAATTTGAAATTCATTGAACGGTTTATTGATTTAGATTTAAAAAATTGTTTATTAATAATTTTATATAAAATTAAGTATTTATTTAAATTTTTAACTTATTTATTAACTTCATATAAAAATGAACTATAAAATGATTTTTTTTTTAATTCTATATAAAAAATCATGTATTCATTAAAAATTTTAGCTTGTCCAATTAATATAAAAACCAAGTATTTAATAGGTTCATTTAGATATATGACACATAATTTTTATATATTCACTTATCTCGCGCCTAAATAAGCACTCAAATCCATAGTCAAAGAGTATTTTTCTTGTATAAGCTTAAAACACCAAAATGTAAATATAAAAGTTTTGGTGTGAGATATTTAAATCCACAAGAACGAGGCACTTGGTATATAAATTTCACGTAACATTAAAAAAACTACGTATAAATCATGTATAAACATGAAAAAAAGGTTAAGCAAGTCAAATATGAACACGAATATAAAAACTCAGTTCAAGCTCGAACTGAATATGAACATCTTATGATTCATCTAAGCCTCGTTCAATTCATGACGTGGCTCGGCTCTGCTCAATCATTTCCTTACATTTCTATTCACCTTTGCTTTATTTCTAATATTCCCTTTTTATTTTTATATTTATTTTTAATTATAGAAAAGGGAATGAGCTGGAGATAACTGCGCTGGAATACAAATCAGCTGAGAGGCTAAAATTGGTGAAGCAAGGCTACAGAATTGTAGGAAATATTGGGGATCAGTGGAGCGATATATTAGGCTCACCGGAAGGTGACCGCACCTTCAAGCTCCCCAACCCTTTGTACTACATAAGCTAAGCTATGAGGTTGATTGTTGTTTGGGCTTGAAAAAAAAAAATTTCTTTTGGGGTCTCTTTTGCACTTTCTATAATCCTCAAAAATAATCAGAATATTTGTCATATTGGGTAAATTTTGAAATATTTATTAGTAACGTTTTAACGAGTGAAATAAGGTTTTCTTGACTGGTTGTAATTTAAAAATAGTTGTTGAGAGTTACAGTTGAAATGATTTCATTTTGTTGAATCGTGAATGGTTTACATTATTTGAAAGAGTCAGCTTATTAGATTTTTCTTTTGTGGTCGAATGTAATGCGAAGAAAATAAATTTGAATGAAAACCTTCTCAGAGTTCGTTATTCTTTTGTGTGTGTGTGTATGATTTACTCGGAGTGCAGTCGGGATATACTCGAGTGTATTCAGGGCGTGCATTCCTAATAGACAAGCATGGATGACCGCACATAATATTTTCTCAATCATTTATCTCTTATAATAACTAATTTAATCAGAATATTGCACCAAATTTACCCATCAAATGACAATTATTGCTCATTTGTGAAATCTTGCATCTGTGAATAAAAAAAGGTAATTGGAAGATTTACATGCATACCTTAATTCTTATGTATTTACATATCTAAAATCTATAGGATGATTTATAAATATGTGTCATCTTAACTATTCATAAAGAGGTGTATTTCACATTTTAAAAAACAAAATAGTAATTTTTGTATATAATAAAAAGGATTTGAGCGGTATGAATGTGAAAATTAAAGTTTAGGCAATAGATATGAAAATACTTGTAGGGTATGTGTTGAGTGTTCCTAACTAAGGGCTCGTTTGGCACCGTATTTTTCAAGTGGTGCGGCCCAAAAACGCAAAAAATGTCGTTTGGTTATCGCATCACAGTGGCGGTGTTAAAAATTTTCGTTAAAATGCAGCCGCGAGATCAAATTTGCGGCCCGCTTTTCTCCTCTCTCTACTGTGGGCATATTTACCCCACGATCCCTCTTCTTGCATTACCCCTCTCTCGACCCCGCCCCCTCTCCCATGATTCTTCTGCCCTAGGTGGATATCTTTCATGGATTTGTGGTTCCAGTGGCTATTTTCGATTGTGAGTGGATATTCTGGTGATTTTTACATTCTTGTACCTCTCCCGCTCTTTCGTTCTACTTGAATTTTGGTGGTTTGTGTACTCTGTGTTCTGTGTGGTGGAGGTAGTCCATCAGCTTGGTAGATTTATTCGGTTGGTGGTCATTTTAGTCGGTGGTTATTCAGTTGAGATGTGTATTCTCTCACCCCCTCCCTTTTCTTCTTGACTCAGTTTGGTGGTTGTGCAGTGTTCATTCTTCTTCATTTCTTCTCTATTTTTCACCTCTTTTCTCTCTTCTCTGTGTGGTTGTGTGCATTATTCTGATTGGCTTCATCTCTTAGCTCGGTTTTGGTGGTTCTTTGTTTGCTCATTTTTGTGGTTTTAATTTGATATTCTTGGCTATGTCGTTCTGATGCTTTGTGATAATCTTTGGATTTTTAGTGGTTTACCTTGTCAGCAATGCTTCGGATCCCCATGTATGTGGTTAGATTGATTTCTTTTGGTGCTTATGCTATGGGGAATTCAGATATCTTTATGAACTTTGATATTTCAGTGGGGAATTTAAAAATTCAATGGAATTTAGAGTTGGAATTTTTTGTGGTTTTCAGTTTGAGTTTGTGTTTTGCGTTGATATTCAGATTTTTTTGTGCTTTACCATTTAGCAATGCTTTAGGTCCCTTGTATGTGGTCTGTTCGATTTCTTTTAGTGCTTATGGTGTGAGGAATTCAAATATATTTAGGAACTTTTCAGTGGAGAATTTGAAATTTGGTGATGGAGTATCGTCTTGGAGTTTGTGGTGTGGTGTGGTTTGTGGTGTAAGGATTGTTTTGTGGTATGGTAGTGTAGGGCTTGGAGTTTGAGGTGTGGAGGTTATAGTGTGGAGGTTGTAGTGTAGTGTGGTTTGTGGTGTGAAGGTTGTGTCGTTGTGTGGTGGTGTTGGCCTTGGAGTTTGTGGTGCAGAGGATGTGGTGTGGTTTGATTTGTGGTGTGATAGTGTTGGGCTTGGAGTTTGTGGTGTGGAGGTTGTGGTTTGGTGGGGTTTGTGGTGTGGTGGTGTTGGGCTCGAAGTTTGTTATGTGGTTTGTGGTTTGAAGGTTGTGGTGTGGTATGGTTTTTGTGTGGAGGTTGTGTTGTGCAGTGGTTTGTGGTTTGAAGGTTGTGTTGTGATGTGGTTTCTGGTGTAGTGGTGTTGGGCTTGGAGTTTGTGGTGTGGTTTATGGTTTGAAGGTTGTGGTGTGGCATTATTTGTGGTGTGGAGATTGTGTTGTAGTGTGGTTTGTTGTGTGGTGGTGTTGGGCTTGAAGTTTGTGGTGTGGTTTGTGGTTTGGAGCTTGTGTTGTTGAGGGTGTGGTGTGGTTTGGTTTGTGGTGTGGACGTTGTTGGTGTGATGTGGTTGGTGGTGTGGTGGTGTTGGGCTTGGATTTTGTGGTGTGGCTTGTGATTTGGAGGTTGTGGTGTGGTGTGGGGGTTGTGTTATGAGGTGGTTTGTGGTGAAATGGTGTTTGACTTAGAGATTGTGGTGTGGTTGTGGTTTGGAGGTTGTCGTGTGGTGTGGAGGTTGTGTTGTGTGTTGGTTTGTGGTATGGTGGTTTTGGGCTTAGATTTTGTGGTGTGGTTTGTGGTGTGGAGGTTGTGGTGTGGGGGTGTGTTTTGTGGTGTGGTATGGTTTGTGGTGTGGAGGTTGTGATAAGAAGATTGTTGTGTGGTTTGTGGTGTGGAGGTTATGTGGTCTGATTTACGGATGCGTTGGTGTGTGGCTTAAGATTTGTGGTGTGGTGTGGTGTGGTGTGGTGTGGTGGTTTTGGGCTTAGAGTTTGTAGTGTGGTTTGTGGTGTAGAGGTTGTGGTGTGGAGGTTGTGGTGTGGGAGTGTGTTTTGTGGTTGTTGACCTCACTTTTGGTTGAGGTCTAGAAACTTCTTTAGTAGCCTAGGTCTAGCCATAAGACTTTCCTA